AACTTTCTGAGCACAGTATGATAGAGCAACAGAAGCACACGGCACCGCAGTTGTGGCTAATGCAACAGCCAAACATATCACTCCTTCAATAATAAATAAATTCCAAACATATTCACCATGGTTTCTGGTAAATAATGTATTCAAGGTATTATTTTACTAATGTAATTATGAAAACTTATGTTAATGAGGATTTAAAATAGTTTTGGAATCTTAAAAACTGGGGGATGTTTATTTACAGGAAAAGTCAGAAGGGTCACTCACAATGCATGTTGCCAAGAGTGCTCTTGGGCCATTTCACATAAGATACAGCTGATGTCATTAGGTAATGAACGTCAACTCGGTGCTCGTGTGACACGGGCCCTAATGTCGTAACCAATCTTTTGACTCCCTCAAGTTTCAATATTGCCTTTAAATATGCCAAATTTGCATCTGGCAATGTTAGTGAACATTATGCAGTGCCCCCAATGTTAGTGAACATTATGCAGTGCTCTAACTAGTGCCCCTATATTCTTCATCCTGCAGTTTTGCACAAATTTTCGAATCTGAGGGTTGAAAAGCAGTTGAAACACCCTGCACAGCGAGAAAATTAAATTTGGATACTGAATTCAACAAGCTCATTCTTTGAGCTCCTCTACAATAAAGACAATTTCTCACTTATTTTGATGTATGTTATCATTTGGACATTATAACGTCTTAAAAAGATTATCATTATGAACGTATAAGTGTGAAAAACGCATAAACGTAAAGCGGACATTTTGAAATCTTCTACTATGGAAGGGTGGCAAGTGAACCTGGAATCCTTGAAAACGGGGAGAAAAAAGTGGAATAAAGAAAATTAAAAAGTAACTGGAAAAACGAGGAAAAAATTGGAATTTGATTTGAAAACCGGGATTTTTTGTTACTTTCAGTTTTATCCCCACCTTTTAGCGCAAATTCACATACGCCATCGTATTTAGTAAAGTATTTGATTCAACTCAGTACAATGGAGATTAAAAATTGAAATATGTGAGAGAAGTTCCACATGTATGCTTGAGAATGGCCTTGATTCTCGCATCACACAATTTCAAACACTGTGGCGTATGTTGGTGCAACTTAGGTAGAGTAGGTAGGAATCCTGTGAATGTCAAAATTCCATTGCAATGGCAGACCAAAAGATGAAAATGTAGCTCAAAAGCTTAAAGCTATCCAGAATTGTTGTTTGGGTGTTAGAGGCTCGTTGCTATAGAACGATATAAGATCGAGGCAAAAACAGTTCGCTAAACAAGTGAAAATCACTTGAAATCCAGAAAAGTGTCCCAATATCTTTCCGCTGCGGCAGCTGTTACACCATTCCCCTTTGTAACGTTTGTTTACGACTACCGTGAAGATATCACTATTCAAAAGTCTTAAGAGTTTCGCTGAGGTATATTCAAGTATGCGAGTTTTAAAATTTAATTATGAAGGTGCAAAACTATCTTAACATGCTCTCATATTCAGTAAAAGAAAAGTGCCTTGAATGAATAGGAAGAAAAATTATTTTTCAGGGGATGTTGAAATACTTTTTCAGAAAGTTAACAGTGAATGGGTCATACGTATTTGTAGTGAAGAGAATGGTTTACTATTATAACTCCCTGACTAGCAATACTTAGTACTACGTTTTCATTACACAAATGTAATTTAATAATTGTGTTATATATCACTTATGTTCTGCCTGTCAATGCATTCCTTAATCGTGAATGAAGAGGATGCCCTTTGCACCCTCTCCGGCTGCTCAGGGTTGACAATTATATAAATAATTAAAAAAAGCATAGTACGAAAACACGAAATGCCCTCAAACAAGGAGTGAGTCAGAAACATGTGCATCATTACCAGTACGGATCTCAAATCCAAGACTCGGTTTTAAAATAAACATAATACTTATCACCCAATTAAATTCAATATAATGTTTATAAAATAACTTTTACAGAAGAGCATGTAGCACTGCACTTCCTATGAGGACATCACTAAGTGAAGCATGAAAGCCATTTACAAACTGGCCAACTGCAAGCGAACGAACAGAGGAAGGAGAGTGTAATTTGCTGAAGGACACGACGACTGTAGAAACTTCAGTTGTTGCCAGCACTAGCTGTCAAAATGGTCCTTGCAAAAATCACGCATGACCTCTCCAAACTCTCCTGTCCTCAAACAAGTTGTGCTGTTACAGATTATGCAAGCCTGATTTAAAAGTTATAGGAAGCATATTTCTGAGTTGTGTGATTGTGTTTTGCAATAACCTATTTTATACGTCCTTACCTGCAAAAATCTTTTTTTACTTCTGAAATATATTGGATGCAAGACAGATAATTCTGTGCCCACCAGTAGTACCCTTTCAGGCTTTTGGTTTTAGTGGTTTCTTATAAACTGCCAAAACCTATCATCTTTCATGCATAGATATGCACGAAGCATTATAAACCTTTAAAAATGATACATTGTATGTAAATTCAAAAGTCTAAAAATTTCTCAGTGCCAACACAATGTATACAAATGTGTAATATACACTAAAATTATTTTACCGAATTAGCAATCATTTTCAAAAAATAACTAATCTTAAGTGCTTTTAAAGGTGCAAAAAGAGTAAAAATTGTTTATTTTTAACTACAGTACAGTAAAAAAATTGTGGTGCTGAAACAGCACATACTTTATCACCTGTAGTAATAGTTATGTAATACTATTTATACCACAATTTCTCTGCGAATTAACACATCTCAGTAATGGTTTTTTATAAAATCATTGCAAATCATACATTTGGTGCAAAAATGAAATATTTTCAAGCAAATATTATCACAAATTTTACAATTATAACTGCTTTTCATACAGGTGAGTAGTGTTCTAAAAATAAGACGTAATTCACAAAAAGTAGCTCCGAGTCATTGTTGCATTCCAATCTAATATTCCCTGCAGGTTAGCAAGTTTTATTTCGTACATTTCAAATAGGTTTTAAATAATTTTTAAATGATTAATGTGTAAATATGTATCAAAAAGTCAATTATAAGAAATGATCAAAGAAATATTAAATAAAATACAAATTATAACTGATGAAGCATCAAGCTGCCTGGAATTATGATCAAGAAACTCAGTCAATTCAGGGCAGGCAATTACATGGTGCCAGATTTCACTAAAATACTGATATTTTCAATGAATTTATCAGACTTTATCTGAAGATCTGGTTTTGATAATAAATACAATTTCATTAAGAAAAAAATGTATTTTCACAATTGTTGTAGGGATATGGTGAATTTTTTATTTTTGCAAAGTCTGGCATATTTTTAATTCTTGATTTTTGAAATATTAGGGTTTTCAACAAACAAGAGACCTGTGCCATTCTCGTAAATGTCCTTCACACTATCCAAAATTTTAATCAAAAATATATTCACAATTTTTTGAAAACGTCACTGGGGCTCCATGTTAAGTACTCCCCTGCATTAAAATATCAATTTCAAATTCAACGGGCCGCAACGTCAGCCAGATCGATTGGGGATAATCAATTTTTGAGAAAATTGGCTGAACGGTTTAGCCGCTAGTGTTGTTCACAGATTGATGGATAGTCGCTTTTTCGATTTTTCGCTGGAAAGGACCTACAAAACCTGGATTCTGGCTACATCACGCGTTAGAGGACTTATACTTTCTTGTATATGTATGTATATACTGAGTAATATACATAGTATAGAGAAAGTTATATAATTGATTACTTAGGGATTTCAAATTGTTAAATTCAGAAATTACTTCTCCTGAGTGATCCTTCTCTTTGCTGGGAATCCTAAAGCACACATTTGAGCCCACTACTTTTCTAGTTTATTGATGATTTCCAGAGAGTTCAGAAAATTGAATTTTTTACTTTTTGCTGATCTAAAACTGTTGAAAAGCTTTACATCCACAGAGGACATCAAAGATCAACAAGACAGTTTCTGCTGCTTATCAAATGATCTACTATCTAAATTATTTATGAGATGTAGAAAATTGAATTTATCACTTTCTTCAGAAGCCTTTGACTAATTCGATTGATGGTGTGAACCTCAATCGGATATTTTCAATTAGAGATTATGGTGTTACGTTTGAAACAATAATGACTTTCAGTGAACATATTGATTTAGTTATCAATAAATCCCTCAAACAGCTTGGATTGATAAGTGTGTGCCCAGGGAAATGTATTGATGAGTGAAAGCCTGGACTGGATGAAGCATACGTGGTTACAGAGGCCTGGTGTGCTGCTGAAATAACGATCCATGCAAGTTTTGGGTAGTTTTTTGGGCTCTCACAACCGAGAGCTGAAGGAGAACAATGGAAATTTAACAGTGATTCCAGGTGGCAAGACAGGAATATTGCAACCATTTGACATGGCTATTAACATTTGTACTGTACGTGGGTGCGACGAATGGAAGCCACAACTCCGACTAGTCATCTTAAGAAGGCCACAGTGATTGGCATATGCCAATTGATTTTGGATGTGTGGGTTTTGATATCAAAGGAAATGGTCACGAAGAGTTTTAAAGTGTGCAGCCTTTCAAATGAAACGGACGAGAGTGACATATTGTATTATGGAACATTTCCAGCGATTTTTCAAAGTGACAAATCAGGGAATGTGAGGGAATCCGGGAGCGATGAAAATGATTAAATTTAACTTACATTAACGTATATACTACGTCCATTTCCCCCATTGGACATGTTACTTTACAGGGGGGGAGTGCAGCAACAAGTACGGTATAATTGAAAGCTATATTATTTGTGTGTGTGCGTGCACACGTGTAAATTGGTCATAAATAGTCCATAAAGTTAAAATAAATATTTCCCCACAGCTTTTCAGTTTTGAACTCATGACTGCTTTCTTCCTTCTTTCATTTTCATTTTCTCGCCAAAAATGTATGTGAAGAAAGGAGATTTGTAAAATAGTGTAGTTCTAATTTTATAATTTGTTCATGTATAGAATTTTTAACTTTTTTCTTGCTTTTTTCTTTTCCTTCCACCCCTTTTTTTCTTTTTTTCAGCCAGGAAAACGTTCATCATACCTAGATTTGATGTCAGAATTGGTAGCCATGTATATAGATATGGAAATTAAAGCTGCATGGTAAGCTGTTTTATTCTTAATTTATCTTAGAATAATGCTAATACAATTATTACTTGGAATTATTATTATTATTATTATTATTATTATTATTATTATTGTTATTGTTATTGAAATTTTGATTCTTACGAAATTCATTTGTTTTCATTTTAGCCGACAAAAAGAGAAAGCTAAGAAGATAACATCCAGGCTTACCTCAGCATTGTATTTACTCTTAGGTAAGAACAATATTAGGTGTATAGGTTGATTGAAAATCATCAGACTATACTTTGTGAATTGCTATTAGAGATATTGGATTTCCAGAAGAAACAAGATGTTATACTCTTTAAATATTTCACATATTGTCAACAACAAATGAAGTTTTGGGAAATGGTATTTTACTTGAGCTACTTTATCTATAACATACCTCTAAGGACTGATATATTGCCTAAGTTAACCGAACGTTATGACATGTTCAAAGTCAGGTCTTGAAATAACTCGTTTAAAATTTTTTGAAAAAAGAGTAGTTTTTTGCATGAAATTTGTAATGTAATTTTTAAATAATTTTTTTCTCAAAAACTAATCCAAATTTTTTCATTAAATTTTCTTCTCAGGAGTATAGAAAAAGTAAAAAAAGGGGTATTACTCTCATTTTCAGTGAACTGTGTATTTTAAAAAATTGCAAATTTTAACATTGCAACACTACAAATACAAATATAATTATGCGATTACAGGGAAAATGTTCGTAGGTCAAAAATCTTACTTTGGAGAAAACAAGGGCTATATTATTGAGCCATAAGCTATATTAAGCCGATAATGCCATATTTCCCCAATGCTTTTTAGTTAATGAGGCAACATGAACTGTTGTTTTTCTGAAATAAAATATAGATACTTTATGTGAAGTTTCAGTACTTAACTCAATTTCACCAGAAAAATTGACTAAAGAACTTTTACCTTGTGGTCACGGAATTATGTTTTTCTAAAGTGAAATTTTCTAAAATAATTATGCCTTTTAATAATGGATACACAAACTAAAATTTTTTGATCAAATGAGTACTTCGTGAATACTTTCTGCTTGAAGTTATCGTATACTCTAATATAATCCAAATATATTTTTCAAACATTTCTAGCTGAAAATAGGGGTACGGGTAACATTTGCATTAATGTGGCCTCGTGAACTTGAAGTGTGAAGCTCGTGGTCACATGATGGTGTAGGCTATATTGGGTGATTTTTATAATGTGGCATTGGGCAATTTTTATTACGTGGCATGTCCAGACCTGTCTTCCCGATGGAATATCTCACAGCATTTCGTGTTTTTCTCGGTCGTGTTGCTAGTTGTCACATGATAACCACCATATCGTGCACTGCTTGATATGGTTGTGACATTAGTGCAAATGACAGAGAAAGACGCGAAATGTTTGACAAAATGACACTGAAGATAGGCCTTGAGGTGAGCTTTATAAAAATCGTAATAATTGTATAAAAAACAGTGTTGATCGGCAGGCTTTTGGAGGACAAATTTTTGCAATAAAAGCGAAAGAATGGGGAAAATGGGATTTTTGAGATTTCTTATTGGAATATTAGGGTGAGGGTAATATTTGAGGATGGGTTATATCCGAGTATATATGATAATACAAATCATAAGAAAAAAGAAAGAAAAAGAGAAGAGAGAAAAAAAAAACACAAATACAAAAAACAACAACAACAACATTTTCTCAAAAACTGCTCCAAATGTTTTCCACAGATAGAACAAGAAATTCTTAAAACATCAGTGTAGGTATCATTTCCATTGAACTTTCTTCGTTATTGGAGAGAGAACTATTAACTATTTTAACCTTGAGCCTCATTTGTTTATTTAGTAGTGTCATCAATTTTCTTTTTTATTTGTGACGTTCATTATATTATTCTAATATGGTCTGAATAATCTCTGTAAGTACTAAACATGCTAATTTATTATTTCATTCTTTATTCACTAACGTTCTTCCTAAATCTCTACAATAATTACTGTATTTACCTGAAAGTGTCATTTCTGAATATAAGACATTACACTAATTGTGAAGAGTTCTCCTGCGAATATTTTCATTTTTTTAAATTAATTTTCACCATTTAGACTTAAAATTACTTGTGACTATCTTTGTGATGAGAATGTTGAAACTTGGTATTGCTCAAACTATCATTATTTCCTTGTTCCTTAAAATCTTAGAGTTCATTGTTTTTTGCCCACCACAATGTTCATCCTCACTAGTATTTGTTCTTTTTTCCTTAGTCCTCTCCGCATCGTACTCAAGCTTTTTATATTTTGATTAAAACATTAAGTCCTTTGATTGTCATATGCTGAAAAGAGAGGGGGGGATACTTGTCATTAAATTGGGAGCTTCAATACTAAAAATTTAAATCGTAACGAAGCTTGCAATTTGATGACTGTGCCTCCTCTCTTGCCAACTCATGACCTTGAGAAGAGTTCTTGTTTTAATTAAGAGTTCAGGCCTGTTTTAAAGTTTTGCACATTGTATTTGCATTAGTCTTTCATGTGATGGTGTCCATGTGTGTCACTGGAATTTCTGCGTCTCCCTCTTGTTCTAATTTGTTCACATTTGTCATTTCATGTTTGCATAATTGATTTGTTAACTGCATACTTGTACTTGCAAATTTTTGTTTTGCAAGTTATGAAGGAGAGTGGCAAGTTTCAAAGTTTGAGAAGTTTCAAAAGTTGTTGTTGTTGTTGTTTTTTTTCCCATCCTGTCCCTGTTGTTCAATGAAGATATATCATTGCCTACTTAACCAATGTGATTATTTTCATTTTTATCATTTGCAAAACAGAGATTTGTACTCTCTCTCTTTGCTGACTTGTTAAAAAATATTGGTGTGAACCTGTGGTAAATTTACATTGAATGCCAACAAAACATCAGGGAAAATAATTTAGGTGTTATATACACTTGTGATATTTATTGCTATGTCAGCACAGCATTGCCACAGCTGATTGTTACGTCAGCATTCAAATTTTGTTCTTGGCGTAAAAAGGCAGTGTAAAAATATAAATCTTAACCAGGCTTAAGATGATGACTGTAGTTTTTCAATGAGATGTTTAGGAAAAACTCTTCGTATATTTGGATAAATAATTAAGTCAAAATTATTTATTCTGCAATGTTCTCCTTCGTTAAGTATCACTGTAGGTTTTGTTATTGTGTGACATCTGGCCACTTCAGTTGACAGGTGCTCAGACAGTGACGTGTTTCTTCGCATACTCTAATCCCCGTAATTAATGCAAAATAATTATTGTGGATTGTTTGTACCTAATGCTAATATTCAAACACTAAAATAATGTGATTACAGTGCAATTGTTTTTTGTTGTACAGATAAGTCTGAGGATCATGTCTTGGATGCCATATTGAAGGCAAAGCTGATAAATCATCAGAGCAAAGAAGTGTGTCTTCCCATGTTGGGGTATGTTTAAAGATTCAATTGCATTATTTGTGATTCTGTTCTATGCAGACTTAGTTTAGCTTTGACCATTTGTTATGAATTTACACTCTGAATTTGAAAATTATCCATTGAATGAAGACCCATATAATAGAAAAACTAACAATTGTGTGTTTTTTCCAGGAAAATTGTAAATCAAGTTACAATGCCATTAAATGAAATGTCATATGTGCGTTATGTGCTTATATTTAAACTTTTTAAGAAAGTTATTCAGAGTAAAGGAAAGGAGAAACAACAGAAATCTGATGAAGAGAAACGAATCAATAAATTGGCTGTGCTAAAATTGAAACCACCAGACAACTTTGTAGAGAAAGCAAAAGTATTTACTAATGTTTTACCAAAGATTCCTCCAAAATCAAAGAAAAATGTCACACATTTTTTTATGCAAGCCAAATTAAATTTAAAAAATGCTTGCACTGTAAGTATGTCTCTTTATTTTCCTTTTTAAACATATCTTCTTCCATCTATTTATTATTTGTTAATTTTCCTCCAGTCTCAAGCTATTATCTTAAGTAATTTGTTAGAAGTGAAGTCTTACAGTTTTCCATTTCCTTCAAAAATGAATGTCAAGTTCTTAATCTATTTTAATTTTAAAGAAGTCCAATTTTTAATTTGTGTGAATAATGGAGTCTTTTTTTTAGCTTATTTTTAACATTCTTAATATTATTGGTTGGGAAAAACTTTTTTTTAAATCCCTGGGTTTATTTGGGTTTAATTAAAATCACTTAAAATTAATTTTTATTGATTTAAAGATGTATATACATTAATTTATATAAATCTAAAATCATAACATATATTTGAATTAATTAATAGCAGAAGATTTATTTATTAGATCTAATTTACTCTCATCTCCCCTACTTGTTACATTAACAAAACTATCTAAATTACTTAAATGTCTAATGTATATTAATCACCTGTAAATGTGGAAGCTGGACGTAGTGGCAATAGTAGTTGTGACATGATGGGTAATATTCATGGTCAATTCAAAATTTTCTGGCAGATTAAACAAATCACACAAGTAAATTGGTTAGAACATGATTTTTTGTTTCATGTCATATCTTTGTAGTGTCATAGGAAAGGAAAGTATTTTTATTAAAATGGAATTTTCTGAATACATTGTTTTTAGTAATGCTGACAGTTAAAAAACGGTTTCTTACGGTTTGGTTAGCTTCAATTGTGGAACAATTTGGATGGAGAAAAAAGGCAGAGAAATTAGCAAAGTATAATAACACCCAAGAAAAACTCAGCGAAAATGTAATAAAGTTGTAATTTTCATTGAATGTATTAGTTTTATAATCATTAACCCATTACCTACCAGATTTTTATTTTTTTTATTTTCTCTTATATATTGAACATTCCGAAGGAAAGTGAACGCAAAAGAATCAAAACTAGGTGTATTGGACAAATTTGTTATTATTAATCAAGGTTAAGAGAAATAATTAAAAATTACAATGAATACAATATACCAAGGTACACTTCTGGTCATGATATGGTTAAAATACACACACACACAATGACCAATTTTATTTTATAATTCATCAATTGTGATTCTACAATGTTGGATTTTTTTTATTGACTTTGTCTCTTTAGGATTGATATCCTAATTCACTATTGTCATTGAAATGCTTATTTCATTGTATCAGTTTCTTGTGAAGCATTTTCCTACAATGTTGGTTTTTTTTATTGGACTTTGTCTTTAGGGATGAATATCTAATTCAACTATTGTCATTGAAATGCTATATTCATTGTATGCAGTTTTCTTGTGAAGCATTTTCTTAACTTTCAACACAAATTTCATTCTCAGCAGCCAATGTATGTCGTGGGGCAAAGATGGTTTGTGGTCACACTGGGGGGGGGGG